GGCCGTAGGGTGCAGCAGCGGGCCGTAGGGTGCAGCGGCGGGGCCGTCAGAGGCGGCGGCGGGGCCGCGGCAGTAGAGGCGGGGCCGCGTCAGGGGAGGCGGCAGGACTGCGTCAAGCAGGCGGCGGGGCCGCGATCAGGAGAGGTGGCGGGGCCGCGTCTGAGGGACAGCGGGGCCGCGAGGGAAAAGGCGACCCGAGGGGTCGCTAAAAAAAAAAAAAAAAAGGGCGCGCCTCGGGGCGCGCTTCGGTGGGCCCTAAAAAAAACGGTCCTAAGGCAGGACCCGCTCTATACCATGTGAAGCAAGGAAAACAGGAATGAAATGACTAAATCAGAGTTGGGTACAAATACAACCCTAGAAAGCTGTACCCCATATGTGCTACCCCACTATAGCCTACAAACATGCATCAGTCATAATACTCTGACAGTCATCACTGTCGCCAATAACCAGAACCTGCGCACACGACGGCAAGGGGTAGTGCAACTTCAGTCACGAGAGACAAATGTTGTACTGCAAATGTCAAAAGTCCTGATAGCAGAAGGTCTTGGTTACAACTTACTGAGCGTCAGTCAGTTGATGGCGAAAGGCATACATCTGGAAGCCGACAGTACCACCTAGGAGTTCAAACTGTACCACGGGAAGGGCGGCCTCTACATCGGAAAGGCGATTCTGAAGAACAATGTCTTCGTCCTCGACTTCGTCCCAGACCTGGGCACCGCAGACAGTGACGGGATCGTCACCTTCACATCCTTGACGCACCCGCCGGATCTCGACCCCGACTTCAGTCCGGAAGGCTTCTGGTATTCACATACCATTCCTGAAGCAGAACGAACACGTGCGTTAGTAACAATACAACATTTGGCAGCAGCAGAGACAACATCGGCAGCAGCAGAAGCAGCAGCAGAGACAACATCAGCAGCAGCAAAAACATCGTCGGCAGCAGCAGGAACAACGACACCAGTCCTCGTTGACGAAGCACCACCAACACCCGCACAGCAGCTAAATCCAACTCAACGGGAAGTCCACAGAAGCGCAAACTTCATCGCCAGCTTCTACTCCAACTCCGACGCGTATCAACGCTCACCCGGACACCGCGCCTCCGAAGACATCTGGCACGCACGCATGGGACACCCAAGCAACACTGTGTTAAACAACACAATAAGAGCAGGAGTCCTTGACAAGGACTCATTACTACTACTCGACGGCAAAGAACTTCAACGAGCACGAGGAACTTGTCTTACCTGCCCCGAAGCCGACTTACCACATCGGCCGTTCATTCCTCATCACAACCCGAGCGCACCCGCGTACGCACCACTCGAGAAGGTGTACAGCGATATCCTTTTCAATTGGGAACCAGGACAAGTTACATACAACTACACGATCACCCTCATCGACTCCGCCACCCGTTACGTCTGGCACCTTAACCTGCCCAGCCGCGACATGGCACTCGCAGCCTTCGCTGCCTGGCTACCAGTAGCAGAGAGGGAGTCGGGCGCACAACTGAAAAGCTTCCAGTCAGACGGAGGGGGAGAATACACTTCTCAGCGATTCAAGCAGTACCTGGCGGAAAGGGGAATCAAGCAGCTCCTCTCTCTTCCCTACGCCCATCAGCAGCAAGGTGTGGCAGAAAGAATGAACACGACTCTGCAGAACAGCATGCGCAAACTGTTACGTGGCATGCGACTACCCAACCACCAGTGGCCTGCAGCAATGGACCACGTCGTCATGCTCCACAACTTGATGTCGTCGTCTTCACTTCCGAACAACGCGTCACCGCATCTGCTGTGGACAGGGAAACAGGGCAGCCCAAAAATGTTACGAGTTTTCGGGTGCATGGTACAGTACCGGCCCCCAGAAGCACGAGCGGGAAGATTTTCACAACACGCACAGTGGGGACTGCACCTCGGCATCGAAAAGAACTACAACGCGTGGAAAATCTTCGACGTCCACTCCAAGAAAACAGTAGCAGCACGTGACGTAATTTTCTACGAACGACTCACGCTTCAGACATACCTTGCCAACTTGCACGATAATGAAGATCCCACAGGTGGCTTTCGTGGTGACCGAGCCTTCGCCTCAGCAGCGGACGAAGCAGACTGGGACGAGCAGAATGTGGACAATGCACCAGAAGAAGCCGGACCTCTCCCGTTTTGCTCCGTCAACGTCCCCATGGACGAAGACAACCCTCGCGAAAGCGCCAACGCCGAAGTCTTCTACCACTTCGCCGACAACGGTTACGTAACACCTGCGACAGCCAACACCCACGAAGCAGAACGGATAGGGCCGAATTTCATACCCGACCCAGAAGCGGGAGACGAAGCAGCTTATCCCGAGGACACAACACTTCCCCGCTACTCACAGACTGGACTGCAGATTCTCGGCCTCGTCACCACAGTCCACGGCACCTCTCTACCTGAGGAGCCTGCGACGGTTCAGCAGGCTCTGGGGGGGGAATACAGGGAAAAATGGCGTGAAGCCATGGACAGAGAGTTAAAGGCGCTGGAGGAACGGAACACCTGGAAAATTGTCCCCATCAGCGTGGCAAGGAATAAGACCATTCTCACCGGGAAATGGGTCTTCCGCATTAAAACGAAAGCAGACGGCACAATTGAGAAATTCAAAGCACGCTGGGTTGTGCGTGGATTCGATCAGGAGCACGGACGGGACTTCACCGAGACATTCGCCCCGGTCAGCCGACATACCTCACTTCAAATTCTCCTCGCGATCGCCGCTATGATGAAGAAGAAGCTACGGCAAATCGATGTCGCCAACGCGTTCCTCTACGCACCTGTCGACGCGGAAATCTTCGTCGAGCTCCCACATGGTATCCACGGGGAACCGAACCAAGTCTGTCAACTGCGGAAATCACTCTACGGGATCAAGCAAGCTCCGCGGCTATGGCAACAGTACCTACACGCTCGCCTCACTCGCATCGGATTCCGTCAACTGCCTCACGACCAAGGGATGTACCGACTCACCAAAGACACCGACTACATTCTGTTGATCGTCTACGTAGACGACTTACTCTACATCGGCTCTAGTGACGACATCACCACCTGGTTCGAAGGGGAGCTACAGAAGGACCTCACACTCACGGTCTCTTCTAGCGTCACACAGTATCTCGGCTTAAACATTCGGGAAGAAGAAGGCGCGATCTACCTCAACGCCGCTAAGTACGCCGACACCATCGCCAAACGCTTCGCGCTCACACCTACCACCATTTCTACGCCCTACCGCTACACGACAGGAAACCACAATGAAGGATCCTCTCTACTTTAATCCGCCGGGATACGCGACTACCAGAGAAAGCTGGGCTGCCTTCTCTTTGCAGCCGTCACCTGCCGCCCAGATCTATCCTACTCCGCAAGCCAACTCGCCACCTACCTCAAAAGACCTGAAGCAGAACACTTGGCGGAGCTCGACCGCGCTCTCCACTACTTCGTCAGTACCTCTACGATCGGTCTGACCTACTACAAGAACACAACTACACCGACGAAATTAATCGGCTACGTCGACGCAGATCACGCTGGCGACTCAGACAATAGGCGCTCCCGCACTGGCTACATCTACCGCCTCGAACCTATCGGACCGATCTCCTGGCAATCGAGCAAGCAGGAACTAATCGCTCTCTCGTCAGCTGAAGCAGAATATATTGCACTCTGCTCAGCCACCAAGGAAGGACTCCATCTTCGCGAGCTGCTGGAAGAAGCGAAGCTAGCCGAGTTACCCAACTTCACTTTGTTCTGCGACAACCAATCTGCGATTCGCATCGCCAACAAAAGTGGATTCGCGAACAGAACGAAGCATATCGCTCTGCGATACTTCTTCGTGAAAGATGAGATCGAGAAGGGGAAACTTGAACTATCCTACTGTCCCACGTCCGAGATGGCAACTGACTACTTGACCAAGAAGCTCGGAAAACAGAAGTTCGAGTACTGCATGCTGCTGACTGGACAAAGCCACGTCACCATCAGCGACACTCCAGAAGCGAAGGGGAGTGTTGGGAACAAACAATCTTAAGCGCCTCTGTCGTGTCGAAACACCAAGACACAAGCGAAGCAGCGCATATGGAGGCACCAGCGAGTCAACCCTCGGAGGTTGATGTAACCGCTGGAGGTTACGTGAAAGTCAAAGGTCAGCGACCTTTGACCTGACAAATGCAGCGCGACAGCAAGGACACACAACCGACTCGACATTGAGCAGTTGCCCGAGTCGCACTGTATCAAACCGCAACAGTAAAGTAGTTATAATGTCTCTTCATATTCTCTGTATTCGTATATATATTCTTGTATCTCTTTGCTTTAATCAACTTACTTTGCCCTCACATACTAGCACAAGGTGGTTCAAATACCTTACTTAAAACGCTTCCGCTACTACATCACTTTACTCAGACTTTAACTCTACCAAAGATCCTAAAGGGCACTCAGCCCAACAAATTTAAGGGTTGTGAACCACCTTGCGCTAGTATGTGAGGGCAAAGTAAGTTGATGAAAGCAAAGAGATACAGGATTATATAAGAGTACAAGGAATACGAAGAGATACGGTTATAACTACTTTACTGTTGCTGTTGCGGTTCGATACAGCGACGACTCGGGCAACTGCTCTGTAGCGAGTCAGTTGTGTGTCCTTGCTGTCGTGCTGTACTTGTCAGGTCAAAGGTCGCTGACCTTTGACTTTCGCGTAACCTCTAGCAACCGCTCAACCTCCGAGGGTTGACTCGCCGGTGCTTCGATATACTTCGCTTCGCTTCTGACTTGGTGTTTTGACACGACAGAGGCGCTTAGGACCGATTGTTTCCAACACTTACTAGGGTGTTTGCACTTACGAATGATTACACGCACATGGAACGGTTGGATAAGATTGTTACCGTACACCCTTACCATCATTCCTCCAGCTTGGAGTTCACAGGTATGGCAATGGCAACATCCTAGAAAGAAATGACACAATCTAATCATTGCAGCAAAATAACAAAGAAAACCATTATCAAACAAACACCAATATCATGCCATTTGGCGAATGAGGTCATTGATCTCAACTCCCCTATTCCCAGCCTCCCCTCCCTTGTTGAACCACCCGGCCTTGCTGAACTTGCCCCTGGGAGCGGCGAGGCGGAAAGGCCAAAGAAAGCCAGTCACTTGCAGGAAGTGCGGCCCCACTGTAGCGATCTCGTGAATCAAATCCTCGATACAGATGATGCCTGTGCTGCCTAGTGCCTGCAGGGAGCGAAGCAAGTAGCGAGGGGCGTGGGGCAAAGCAGCAGAGGAGTGTGAGAAATTGAAGGGGAGTAATGGAGCACCAGCACTCGATTTAAAGCCCACCTGCTCTACAATAACGTTGTCAGCGAGGGACACTCGCCGCCACCCACCCCTTAGCCCCCCCCTTCCCCATCCAGTTTTGAGACGGCAAGCTCAAAACTCCCAACTTTTAGACATCTCAGAAACGTAAGCTCACCTGTTCAACAATAGCGTTGTCAGTGAGGGGCACTCGCCGCCACCCCTTGGCCTCCTCTGCTGCATCCACCGGCCCCGTCCACCCCGCCATCGCCTCCTCCTTCCTAGGCGCCCCCACCACCGCCTCTGCCTTCCCATGCAGGTTCTAAAGTGCCTGAAACAGGCAACAACTACCAGCTCACCTGTTCAACAATAGCGTTGTCAGTGAGCGGCACTCGCCGCCACCCCTTGGCCTCCTCCTCTGGATTTACCGGCCCCGTCCACCCGACCATCGCCTCCGGCTTTCTAGGCTCTCCCACCACCATCGCCCCACTACCCCCTGCCCCTTCTGCTGCTCCCCCCTGCCTTGCTTCCACCTCTTTGGCCTCTCCCTCCCCTCCCTCGTCCCCCTCTGCTTCCTCATCCCCCTCCGCTTGCTCCTCCCCTTCCCCTGCGTCTTCCCCCTCTTCGCCTTCCTCCCCCTCGTCGTCACCTTCCCCCTCCTCTTGCTGCCGTATGCGTGCCACGCCTCGCTTCATAATGAGCGCGCGCACTGAGGATAGGTTGGGGAACCTGAGGGGGGGTTGGGAGTATACAGTGGGTTGATGCGGGAAGATGGGGGAAGGAGGGTAAGGGGGGAGGGGGAGGCAGGGAAGTGCGCCCACGCCTTGCTTCAATATGAGCGCGCGCGCTGATGAAAGGTTGGGGAATCTGGAAGATGGGGGAAGTGTGTGGGGGGGTGGTGGGGGAACTAGGATGAGGGGAAGTGGGTGAGAGTGGGTGCAGGTTCAGGAACCCGAGAGGAAAAAGAGAGAGCCGGAAGGAAAGGGTGAGAAGCGTGCAACGATTAAAGCTGGTTATGGAAAAGAGCGAGGGAGAGAGAGGAGGGAGGAGAGGGCTAAGAAATCGAGATGAAGACACGGGGGGAACAGAGCAAGAGAGAGTGAGGGTGGGGAGAGAGGGTGAAAGAGAGGGAAGGAACGGAACACAGGAGTGGGAACTGAGAGAGAGAGAGAGGAAATTGGAAGGGGGTGGTGGTGGTGTTACAATAGGGAGTGAGGGAGTGAGGGAGTGAGGGAGGAAAGGCGGGAGGGAGGGAGGGAGGGAGGGAGGGAGGGAGGGAAAGAGGGAAAGAGGGAGGGAGGGAGGGAGGGAAAGAGGGAAAGAGGGAGGGAGGGAAGGAGGCATTTCAGAAAGGAGGGAGGGCGCACCCGAAGGTGACGTAGGGCTCGACGAGTTGCAGCATTTGAGCCGTGCGGTCCGTGGCTCGCAGGAAGACGCCCGAGTTGAGCTGCAGAGGGGAAGGTGAGGGAGGGGAGAGAGAGCGAAAGGGAGGAGGTGTGTGTGTGTGTAGGGGGAGAGGTGCGCGGATAAGGAGGGGGGAGAGGGAAGGAGGGGACGGAGGGAGCGAACGACAATTAGGGCGCGTGTGTGGGGGAATGCCATGGGGACTCCACAGCCACCTGCGCGGATCTAGTCATTAACCGCGTCAGCAGCAGCAGCGGCGGCGGCGGCGGCGGCCGCGGCAGCGGCGGCAGCAGTGTGGTTACCTCTGTAAGTCGGAGCATCTTGAGTATACTCCGCGACTGCTTCGTCATTTCGTGTTGCACCCTGCACACACGTGGAGATGATTGGGTAAACAGAGAGGCAACCAGATACAAGTGGGAATACTAGGGTTAGATAGTAAAGAATGAAAATGCGATGATTAACACGCAATGGCCATGTCGACGCAACAATGGCGAATATGTGTCAAAGCGCGCCGTGTGATAATGCACTGCAGCCCTCACTCATCCCCACACTCACTCTCACTCCTCCCTGCCATTCACTCTCTACTCTCGCCCACCTCTCCCCTCTCCATTCAACTCCCCCCCTACTCCTCCCCCATCCCCCACTTACCCGCGGATCCGCACGGCAAACAGCAGCTTCAGGTTCGTCCCCGCCAAAACGCCCCCCTTGTCCTCCCCCTTCCCCGAGCTTATCCGCTCCGCCGCTTTCTGCGCCGCCTTCAGCTTCCGCCGCGCCAGCCTCCGCTGCGCCGCGCTCCCCCCGCCCGCCACCACCGGCTTCAGCTGCACCCGCCGCCCCACCACCCGGTCCGCGCGCACGCGCTTAGCATCGCGCTCCTGTTGCGGACGTGGGAAAGCGGAAGCGGAAGCGCGCGGGGAGAGGGAGGGAGGGGGGAATAGAGGGGAACTTGACGCAAACGCCCAACTCCGAAACCACGCGTTGCCCCATCACGTTTTACCAGCCGCGAGCGTCGCTCCCGTTGCAAGGAGAACGGACAGGAGGGAGGGGTGGGTGGGAGAAAACCGGTGGTCACCAAAACCCGAACCCTTATGCCCTAGCTCCTAAAACCCTGGTATTCGAACCAGGGGCAGTCCGCACCACTCTCCCAGTCATCAACATCCACCGACTGCTGGCACGTTAAACCCTACACATGCAGCCCTCAACCCTGATCTCCAACTCGGTCCAGCGAGTTATTCAAAGACACCCCCCTGCGCGCCGAGCCTGTCCATAAGGGTTTAGATAAATCTGCGACGCACGCCGACGCAACCTAAGTGTAAGGCTGTACACGCCGCGCCTGTCCTAAACGTGCGGCCCTTTTTCGCAAATATCCGCAAGATCATCAGTCCGTCGAGCTGGCGCGCGCGTACCCTTCCCTCCACACGCGTGAGTTGCGGCGTGAGTGGCACGCCGCTGGACCGCGAAACCCGGTCAGCTATTTTCCAATAGAATGTTGAAACAGTATGACAGAAGGTTGCGTTTAAAAAAAAAGGAGAAAATTCCCGGCAGAGGAATCCGCAACCGCGCATGCTGACCCCCCCGCGCGCACGCACCCTCCGGCGGAACGCGAGCACGAAGTCCTCTGGGCGCTTGAAGCGCTTCTCTGCCTTTCCGCGCTTCCCGCGGTGCGCGTGCTTCTGCAGGAACTGCTCGCGCTTCTCCGCCGCGAACTGCTCGTCCTTCTTCCGCTTCTTCAGCACCGTCTCCGGCACCGTCGGTAGCACGCGCGGCGGCTGCAGCTCCTCCGCACTCATGGCGCCTGGCGGCGGACTGGGCGGGGGATCGGCGGAAGACTGGCGGAAAACTGGCGGAAGGCTGGCGAAAGAAACCAGCGGAAGATTAGCGGCGGAGTGGCAGAAGAAGGGTACGGCAAGGCTAAGGGGACGAAGGTAAGGACGGGCTACGGGAAGAGGGGGAATAATCACGAGTAGATGGGGAAAGGAAAGGAACGAGATCAAGCGAGTGGGTGGGGTTTCTGAGGTTCGATTCGATATCCGCAGGTCTCTTCTTTTTGAGAGAGCAAATTTAGTACATTGTACAACAAATCGTCCACGCTAACTAGTAATTTCACCATGCTGTTGCATCAAGGTTTGTGATGTGGTAATGATATCTAGAATAATAAAATTACTCGCAGAAACATCATTTCGTTACACAAATAGGATGCACAATAGAAATATAACTTTCTTAGAATTTGTTGCCTACGACATGGACCTAGCTAAGCCATGCCGTACACACCTAGAGTACAACCCCTGAGAGCACATTCAGCTTCCAACCAGCGATTGGAGGACCCTTAGAAGAAGCACCTGCCACACCAATTTCTAGCAGCTTTACATCGCTGGTGGAATTAAACAGCAGCAGCAGCTGCAGGTGCATGTGCCCTCCTGAATCCTCCTCCTAGTGCCTTCATGTACCGGTATCACCCCCCAAGCTTGCTTCCTCAACCCTCACCCCAGCAAGGCTGAGATTCTCTTACTTCCAGCACCCCCCCTCACACAGTCTCCAGCAGTTGGGTAATCAGTGGAGTTCCCATCGCTGCATCCCCCCTTCCTCCGTGTCAGCGCCCACACCACTGTGCTCCCACCTATGCATCCCCCCTTCTCCTCCCTGGGAACCGCCCCTCACACCATTCCCATCAGCAGACAGCCCACCTGGCCCCCACTCTCTCCCCTTTCTCTCTCTTTCCCTCCCCCCATCCTCACACCATCTCCAGCAGTTTAATGTTCCCAGTAGAATTCGCAGCAACGAGTGTTTGAGAGTCACCCCGCCAGCACACACTCGACACAAACTGCCCCGCATCCTCCTCCGTGTCCGCGCCTGTGACCGGATCAACCCCCCCAAAGCGGTGTGCTGCCATGGGCATTGGCAGCGACTTGTGGAACGCAAACACCTGGGAGAGGAGCGGTGATGGGGAGGGAGATGGATCGGAGACAGGCGGAGAGGGGGTGTGTGATTGGGCACAAATGGACGGTGAAATGGATTGCAGATTCGGATCGTGGAACAACAGTGAGAGGCACAACGGGTTTTGAGGCGCCTCAAATGAGTGAGGCAGAACGGGATGGTGGCGCACACAAGGAGTGGTGGAGGGGAGTCGGGACAGAGAATGCTGCACGGCACGGCTCAAGGCATGCAAGGGAGACCAGTCCTCGTGAGCACAGCACAGCGCATACCTCGTTAGTTTCGGAGCCGCATGCGATGTAGCCATCAGCCACAGTGAGCCCCACAAAATTCTGCCGGGATAGGGAGAGATGGGAGGTGGGGGGAGCACGACGCGAGGTCAGAGAGGAGAGGTGCGAGACAGGAAGAGTGAGCTGCATGCCATGTAGCCATCAGCAACCGTGGGCCCCACAAGGTTCTGCCGGGACAGGGAGACACGGGAAGCACGGGGAGCAGCACGGGACATGAGGAATGAGCAACGCTACAGGCGGATGACCAACACTGACTGAGCCCCACCACGCTCTGCCAGGACAGGGAGACACAGGAGATGGGGGATTGCGATGTGAGGTCGGAGGGGAGTTCTGCGGAGGGGAGTCCTGCGGAGGGGAGTCTTGCGGTGGGGAGTTGTGCGGAGGGGAGTCCTGCGGAGGGGAGTCTTGCGGTGGAGAGTTGTGCGGCGGGGAGTTGTGCAGCGGGGAGTTCTGCGGCGCCTCAAAACTCGTAACCACCAGCTGCAGTGAGCCCCACGTGATTCCGCCGAGACAGAGGGACACGAGAGCTGAGGGGGACGCGATGTGTGGCTGGGAGAGGGACAGGAGAGATAGAAGGTGACAAGCGAGAGACGAATGAGCGAAGAAGCAAGAAACAGGCGAAAGAATTAACCCTGGCATGAGAACTAGTGAGTTATAAACGAACAGGTGGTCGTGACAGGAGCAGCGGACGTAACAGCACTTGGTGCCCACCAGCTACAGAAGCCACACCACACCATACACCGCCACACCCCACCTTCTCATTGGTGTGCCCCCCCCGTGAACGTCCTCCTGCACGCAGAGCCCCCATCCGCCCCACTCCCCCCCCCCCCCGCCTGCTGACTACACGCACTGTTCAGATCCCACAGCTTGAGAGTATTGTCCGCAGAGGCAGACACACGATGAACTCTTAAGAACCACCCACCTTCTCATTTGTGTGGCCAGTGAACGTCCTCGTGCAAGCAGAGGCCCCATCAGCCCCTCCCCCCGCCTGCTGACTGCATGCTTGGTTCAAGTCCCACAGCTTCAGAGTGTTGTCTGTTGAGGCAGAGACGATTGTCGAAGCATCGACGAATTTCACGTAGCTGACAGCCTTGCTGTGGCCCGTGAGCGTGGCGAGGGGCGCGCGGAGCGAGCGCAGGTCGAAGCAGTGCAGCGAGTAGTCGGCCGAGCCGAGGGCGAGCAGGTGCGAGGAGTGCGGGGGGAAGGCGACCGAACACACGTTGGCCTTGGTGTGAATCGTGCCCACACTCGTGTCCTGACACGGGAGGGGTTGCAGAGGAGGACAGCGAGAGAGGGGGAGACGCGGAGAGGGAGAGGGAGAGGAGCGAAGGAGGGGCGGGAGAGGAGAGGGAGAGGCAAGCGTGTGAATAGAGCATAGGAAGGGAAGAGGGGGAGCGCAGATCGAAGCAGTGGAGGATTTTGAATCGCCTGCTTGATGCCCCACAGCTTTGCACACTCCGTACCACAACTTCCTGCGTACTGATTGTGCAGTTCAACCTAAAGCAGTTCAACCTAATGCAGTTCAACCTAAAGCAGTTCAACCTAATGCAGTTCAACCTAAAGCAGTTCAACCTAATGCAGTTCAACCTAATGCAGTTCAACTTAATGCAGTTCAACCTAAAGCAGTTCAACCTAAAGCAGTTCAACCTAATGCAGTTCAACCTAATGCAGTTCAACCTAATGCAGTTCAACCTAATGCAGTTCAACCTAATGCAGTTCAACCTAATGCAGTTCAACCTAATGCAGTTCAACCTAATGCAGTTCAACCTAATGCAGTTCAACCTAATGCAGTTCAACCTAATGCAGTTCAACCTAATGCAGTTCAACCTAATGCAGTTCAGCCTAATGCAGTTCAACCTAAAGCAGTTCAACCTAATGCAGTTCAACCTAATGCAGTTCAACCTAATGCAGTTCAACCTAATGCAGTTCAGCCTAATGCAGTTCAACCTAAAGCAGTTCAACCTAATGCAGTTCAACCTAATGCAGTTCAACCTAATGCAGTTCAACCTAATGCAGTTCAACCTAATGCAGTTCAACCTAATGCAGTTCAACCTAATGCAGTTCAACCTAATGCAGTTCAACCTAATGCAGTTTAACCTAATGCAGTTCAACCTAATGCAGTTCAACATAATGCAGTTCAACCTAATGCAGTTCAACCTAATGCAGTTCAACCTAATGCAGTTCAACCTAATTCGACCAATCAGCACGCCCCACTTGGTTGATGCAACCAATCAGCATGCGGCACCTGGTTGATGCCCACCTGGTTGATGCCCACCTGGTTCATGCCCACCTGGTTGATGCTCCACAGCTTGACAGTGCCGTCATCGCTGCCGCTGGCAAGGCGCGTGGGATCGCAGGGAGAGAAGTCCACACTCCACGCTCGCTTCTCATGCTCCCCCCACTCCATCACCGCCGCTCCCGTGCCCGCATCCCACAGCTGAAGAGGGGAAAACGGGAGGGGATAGAGGAAAAAAAGGAGGTCAGTGGATTGAGCTGCCCTGAGCATCACTCTATGCTCGCTTCTCATGCTCGCTTCTCATGCTCGCTTCTCATGCTCGCTTCTCATGCTCGCTCCTCATGCTCGCTTCTCATGCTCGCTTCTCATGCTCGCTTCTCATGCTCGCTTCTCATGCTCGCTTCTCATGCTCGCTCCTCATGCTCGCTTCTCATGCTCGCTTCTCATGCTCGCTCCTCATGCTCGCTTCTCATGCTCGCTTCTCATGCTCGCTTCTCATGCTCGCTCTCATGCTCGCTCCTCATGCTCGCTCCTCATGCTCGCTCCTCATGCTCGCTTCTCATGCTCGCTTCTCATGCTCGCTTCTCATGCTCGCTTCTCATGCTCGCTTCTCATGCTCGCTCCTCATGCTCGCTTCTCATGCTCGCTTCTCATGCTCGCTCCTCATGCTCGCTCCTCATGCTCGCTTCTCATGCTCGCTCCTCATGCTCGCTCCTCACGCTCGCTCCTCATGCTCGCACCCCAACACGCCATTGCCCCATGCCAGTGCTCTCCCTCCACCCAATCCCCCTCCTTCCCCCACCCCACTGCTCACCTGCACAACCCCGTCGTAATCCGCGGAGGCGAGCCGGTTCTTGATATACCCGTTCCAGCTCACACACGACAGCTTGGCCCGGCAGCCCATCTCCACCACCGGATAGTGCACGTCCACTCGCCGCCCGGCCAGCACGCTCTCACACTCAAAGATCCGAATCCGCCGACAGACGCCGCCCGTGGCGAAGAACTGCGCGTCGCGGTCGAAGGCGAGGGAGCAGACCATGGAGGCGGCGTTGAGGAGGTGCGCGTGGCGCAGCGTGGCGCGCACCTCGAAGCGCGAGTAGCGCGCGAACTTGCAGAGCGAGTCGAAGAACTCGCCCAGTAGGTCCCTGCTGCCCTCCGCACCTCCCTGCTGCTGCTCGTGCACATGCTGCTGCTGCTGCTGCTGCTGCTGCTGCTGCTGTGGCGCTGCCATCGCTCCGCCTGCTCTTCCTGCCGCTGTTGCTGGTGCTGCTGCCCGCCCTGCACCAACCACTGCCCCGGCAGCAGCAGTCGAAGCGGGTGCTGCTGCCCTGGCCTGCCCTGCCTCCGCCTCTGAGCCTGTACCTTCGCCTCTTCTGTCCTCTGCTCCCCCTTCCATCACCTCTCTTGGCCTCACCACACCCTGACTCGACTCATCATCCCCCCCAACACTGCCACCACCACCGCCACCATCAATCCCACCTGCACCGCCAGCACTACTGCCACCATCACCGCGACCACCACCACCAACACCGGCGCCAGCAGCAGCAGCGCGAGGGGCAGCAAGCGGCACTGCAGCGTCGTTTGCAGGCAGAGCGGCAGCAGCAGCAGCAGCGGCAGAGGCAGTGGCACCGGCCCCCCTCCCAACAGGTCCCCCATTGGCCGCCTCTACTCTCCAGCGCATGGCGAAATACACCTCTTCCAACCGGTCCAGGTTACGCAGTAACCGCACGCTCCTCCTTGCCCCCCGCGGCCGTCCCATACTGAATGGAGCAGCAGAAACGCCAGCAGCAGCGGCAGGAACGGAGGAAGGGAAATGCCGTGCCCCTTCTCGTGCCCCTTCTCGTGCCTCCTCCGCTTCACCTGCCGGCCACCTCCCTCTCGCCTCTCGCCCTCCCCCACCCATGCTCACCACTCCACTCATGTCAGCAGCAGCAGCAGCAGCGGCATGAGAGGGTGGGATGAGCCCAGGGCGGGGGGAGCGGGGGGAAAAGGCACTCCAAAGGTCCCTCTCTGCCCCTCCGCTCATGTCACTCCCACCCTCCCAGCCACCCTCCCTGCGGCCCCGTCTGCCGCCTTCCCTATCCTCTACCGTCTGTGTGGACGGAGCTGGCAGCATGAGCGGCTGAGACTGCCCCTGCTGCCCCGATCCATGTACGTGCACCTGCCGCCCGTGCCCCTGCCGGCCATGCCCGTGCCGCCCGTGCGCCTGCTGGCCGCCCATCACCGCCGCCCGCCTGAGGTGCACCTCATGGATATCCCCAGTGAGCCGCCCGAGATCGAGAGCGAGTTTCTGGGCGGCAGACTGCTCGGCGAGGTGGATTCGCGAGAGGAAGGCGAGCAGCACGTCACACTCCGCCTCCTCTGCCTCCAGCCCCGCCTGCTGCCCCCTGTGGGCGAACATGCTCGCCACATCTGCCAGCAGTTGACTGCTCCGCACCTCGCTGCAAGGATGAGGCGGAACAGGTGGGAGGAACAGATGGGCGTAAGACATGGGGGAACGATGGGAAGAGAACAAGGCAGGGTTTTAAGGTGGATGCGCGAGAAGAAGGCGAGCAGCACGTCGCACTCCGCCTCCTGTGCCTCAAGCCCCGCCTGCTGCCCCCTGTGGGCGAACATGCTTGCTACGTCTGCCACCAGCTGGCTGCTGCGCACCTCCCTCCCTGTGGAGACGGAGAGGAAAAGGATGGAGGGGCAAGGAGACCAGCCGTGGAGAGAGAGGGGTATGGCAAGGGCGTTTGAAAAGGTCAGAAATGGGAGAGCATGTTGTGAGGGCAGCCATGATAGGCATGTGGGGCATGATGAGCATGCCGGGCATGTGGGGCATGATGAGCTTGCCGGGCATGTGGGGCATGATGAGCTTGCCGGGCATGTGGGGCAGTGATGGGCTGTGAGGCGCGCTGACGGCTGCGGGTGCGGCAGCCAGAGACAGAAGGCGGCCTCCTTGGGACGATGGGCTTGAGGTGGGTGGGAGCAATGGATGAGGGGGCTCAAGGAGTGATCACGAGGCGTTGAGGCGCGCACAAGGCGTTAGGGGACTCTCGAGCAGTGGGTCGTGCCGACGGCTGCGGGTGCAGCAGCCAGAGGCAGAACGCGGCCTTCTTGGGGCGATGGGAGAGGAGTGGGAGCAAGGGGTGATGGGGTTCAAGGGGCGAGGGTCAAAGAGTGGGGGAATCACGGATTCAAGAGGGTTAGAGGGCTTACGAAGCGGTGGGGCGGGCGGAGGGCTGCGGGTGCAGCAGCCAGAGGCAGAACGCGGCCTCCTTGGGGCGATGGGAGAGCAGGCGGGGCGGCAGGATGCGATGGCAGAGGTCCGCCATTATCACGCTGCGCTCCGTGGCACTCGTGAATAGACAGAATAGCTGGTGGGGGGAGGGGGGAAGAGGAGGGGGGAGGGCGGAGGGGGGAGGGGGGGAGGGGGGAAGAGGAGGGGTGCGTGGGGAGAAGAAAAAAGAGAGGGGAGGAGAGGGGGAGAGGACTGAGCAGAGAGAGGAGAGGTAGAGAAGAAAGATGCAATGAGATGACAGGAGAAGCGCATGCGCTGGGGCCGGGGTGTGCACCGTTGTAGAGAGTGCCAGCAACCCGCTCCCCTGTGTCCCGGCCGCCTGCGACCGCCTCAAAGAAGAGCGCGGCCAGCTCGTGCATACGGTGAAATTTTTTAGCACGACGAAATACAGACGTCTCAAAAATACTTCAAAGAAGAGGAGGCTCACCTCAAAGAGGAGGCTCACCTCAAAGAGGAGGCTCACCTCAAAGAGGAGGCTCACCTCAAAGAAGAGCACGCCCAGCTTGAAGACATCAGACGCCGCCCCCACAGGGTCACCCCTTGCCTCCTCCGGTGACGTGTACCACCGTGCCTCCTCCTCCTCCGCCCTCCCCCCCTCACCCCCTGCCCCTCCCGCTCCGCCTCCCCACTGCATGTCCCCTCCTCCGCGTTCTCCTGCCTCTGCCCCTCCAGCACCGGGGGTTAATCGCTGCTGCCCTGCCATGCCCCGCCCTGCTGCTGCTCGCCCCGCCCTCCCACCCGCTTGCCCCTGCCCCAGATGCCCCTGCCCCTGCCCCTGCGCCACCATCCCCTCCTCCCCCTGCTCCTGCAGCATCGCCCTCTGCCATGCCTCCGCCTGCTGCTCCCTCCACGTCACTGCCCCCTCTGCTGCCCCTCCGCCTCCGCGCCCCTCCTCCTGCTGCCGCCACCCCTGCTGCTGCTGCCGCTGTTGCTCCTCCTCCTCCTGTTGTTGCTGCTGCTGCTGTTGCAGCCGCGCCTGCCCTCCACCACCATCCTCCCCCATCTCCCCCTCCCCTTCCCCCACTTCCCCCTCCCCCGCCTCCCCGGGTCGCGCCCGCAGGAACGGCGGGTGGTACACCACCCTTCGATGCGCAGACAGGACAAAGCACGCCGGCCGCACGTGGCGAACCACATGGCCCTGCGTGTGGGCGGCAGCGACCATGTCCACCACCTGCGCGAACAGGAACAGGCTCTCGAGTCTATCCACCTCCCTGCCTGCCCGGTTCAACCAGCGCCGCAGCGACAGTAACGGTTGAGGTGTGATAGAGGACGAGTCTACCCTGGGTTGAGGCGCGGCTGCTGGTGGGTCCAGCCTGGGAGGCGGCATGGCGGGTGGTGAGGGGAGGTGCGTTGGCGGAGGGGAGGGGGTTGCTGCAGCGCGGACGGGGGGAGGGGCTGGGGATTGAAGGGCGGCGGGCGCGGATGGTGTGTGGGGGAGGTGGGGAGGAGGGTGGCGGAGGAAGGGGGGTTGAAGTGCGGAGGAGGGGGCGGTGGTGGGTAGAGTGGCTGGGCCTCCATCTCTGCCTCTCCCAGGCGCACCAGCAGCAACAGCTGCTGCTGCTGCTGCTGCTGCTGCCCCGCCTGCTGCTCCGCCTGCTGCTCCTCTCTCCACCATCCCATGCGTTTGCCTCAGCTGCTGATGTGGGGGTGGCGGTGGCGGCAAAGGCTCGTGGCAGTGCTGCTGTTGCTGCGGTTGCTGCTGGCATAGCTGCTGCTGCTGCTGCTGCTGCCATAGCTGCTGCTGCTGCTGCTGCAGCTGCCTGGGGCCTGCTGCCAGAGGCGCCTGCGGCCTTGCTACCCCTGCTGCCACTCCTGCCCGGCCTGCCGCTGTTGGCCCTCCGCCATGACCAATGCCCACATCACCACCTGCGCCAGCAGCGCCAGCCGCCCTTCCGCCACCACCAGCGCCACCAGCGCCATTGCCTGGCGCATTGCCGCCCTGCACTCTCCCCTCCCCCGCTTTCCGTTGCTCCACCTCCCTGCCTCCCATCTGCCTCCCTTCCCCCTTTCCCCCTCGCGCCACCCCACACACCACCGCCAACCGACTCCCCTGCCCCGCCCTGCCCCTCCCTCCCCCCTCTCCTCTCCCCAACTCCTCCCTCTCCGTCTCCCGCGCCCTTCCCCCTCCCCCTCCCCCTCCGCCTCCCCCTTCCCCCGCGCCTCCGCCACTCCCCTCCGATTCCTCAGTCTCGTCCAGCGAGCTCCCCGTGCGCTCCCCCCACGCCTGCGCCCATGCCCCCCGCGCGGGGGGACGCACAGACGTTAGAGTTGCTGCGGAGCCCCTCTTCCGCGCGCCCCCCCAGCTGCTGCGTCGAAAAGAGGAACGGCCCCCGTTACAAGCACACGCTCTGAGGGTACAGCAGGCGCGGGATGCGCCCCATGCGCCCCATGTGCCCCCCCATGCGCCCCATGCGCAACCCTTGCTCCCTCGCGCTCCCCCCAGCCCGTTTCTCCTGCCTCCTCCTCGAAACCACCATTACCACCACCATAAGCGTTACCACCACCATAAGCATCACCACCGCCCGCAGCACCAGCCACACCAACAGCGCCACCTGCAGCTGCGCCAGCAGCGGCACCCCTTTGCTGCGCCCTGCGCCGTATATCCGCCTGCACAACCGGTGGAACCACCCCTCCGCCGCCCGCGCAGGCTCACCCACCAGTGGCCTTGCGCCACCCATCACTGCTGCGCGGGTCTCGCCCATCACTGCTGCGCGGGTCTCGCCCATCACTGCTGCGCGGGTCTCGCCCATCACTGCTGCGCGGGTCTCGCCCATCACTGCTGCGCGGGTCTCGCCCATCACTGCTGCGCGGGTCTCACCCATCATTTGCTCCCACCCCGCAGCAGCTGGCTCGTTCCACACCTCCGCGCCCATGCCCTCTCCCCCGTCACCCCGCCCCTCTCCTTGCTCCCACCCCGCTTCCCCTTCCCCCTCAACCTCCGCCGCCCCCTCCGCCTCCGCCCCTGCCTCCTCTCCAGCCCCTTCATCCACACCGCTGCCTGCCCGCCTTGCATCCGCGCGCGCAACCCCGTCCCCCAGCACGTCCCGCCGCCACCCCCCTGCCGCCACCCGCTGCGCCGCCTCGCCTCTCACGCCGCCTGTGGGCGAAACTGCCCGCACTGGCGCTGCTGCCCGCTGCCTGCCGTTGCTGCTGGCGCTGCTGCCGACGGTGCTCCTGCTACTACGACTGGAGACGATATTATCCTGCCAGCTGTATCTGCTGCCTGCTGCCCCACCTGTCCCTGATGCCCACCCTGCCCCTGTTGCCCCCGCCGCCCAGCCGCGGCCCCAGCTACCGCCCACATCCTCTCCTGTCCCCCAACTCCCCCTGCGCTTGCTACACCCGCGCGCCCCGTCCGCCCCCAGCGCTCCGCCCCGCCCCCTGCCTCCCCCGGGCGTCCCCCTGTTAAGATGCGCGCGCATGTCCCGCTGCAGCAGGCGCAAGTACTGGCGCTGCAGCTGGCGCTGCTGCTGCAGAAGGTCCACACCGCCGTGCGCGCCCTCCGCGCCCTCCCCCGCCGCCGCGCATGAGCAGCGAGTGCTGCGCCGCCGCCAGCATCTGCCTGTGCTGCTGCAGCAGCCGCTGCCGAATGCTCGCGCCTTCCCCCTCATCCTCCCCCCCTACCTCCTCCCCTTCCTGCTCCCGCTCCTGCTCTTGCGCCTGCTCTTGCTCCTGAGCATGCTCCTCCCCTTCTTCCTCCTCCCCTGGCTCCCCCTGTTCCCCCTGTTCCCCCTGTCCCTGCTCGCGCGCCTGATCCTGCGCCGGCTTCCGCTCATCCTCCCCCGGCCATCCTTGCCCAGCCCCTTGCCCCTCATGTTGCAATCCCCCCAACCCCGCACTTCCGCCCCTATCCTGCTCCCCCCGCCATGCCCCGCCATAACCCATCTCACCCACCGCGCCTGCCGCGCCCTCTCCGCCTTGCCGTTCCGTCCGCGCGCGCTTCCGGCGCGCCTCGTTGTCCTCCACCCCGTCCCCCACCCCCTCGTCCCCACCCGCCGGTAGCCATTGCGCTTGACCGTTCCCCTCGCCCACCCCATCCGCGGATCTCACTGCTCCCGCGCCTACTCTTCCGCCTTCCGCCCCACCGCCCGCCGCGTGCGCGCCAGGCGCAGCCCGCAGTACCGCGCCCATCAGTCTCACGCGCTCCCGCGCCATCCCGCCTTCCGCCCCGCCACGGCTGGCGGACGGCGGAGCCGGCGGGCGCATAAGGCGCGCGCGGGGGTCGAGATCCGCGTCACTTGCGACCTTCCCCCGGCCGGGTCTCTCTCAGGTGCTGCTGCGACGGATCCATATCCATAGGTGCGTCAGGTACTGCGTCAGTTGCCGCGTCAGGTGCTGCGTCAGGTGCCGCGTCAGGTGCTGCTTCAGGTGCCGTATCAGGTGCTTCAGGTGCCACAAATTGATCAGCTGCGTCAGCCCTGATCCCCACCAGTGCGTCCCCTACACCCTCACCGACTACAGCCGATCGCCTACCGATGAAAGTAAATACCCGTTCGCCCTCTGCCCCTCCTGCCGCCTCCCTCCCACCCGTACCCACGCCTGGCGCAGCTGTGGCAGGCGGGAAGGCGGAGGCGGAGGCAACGGCGGAAGCGGAAGCGGGAGCGGGAGCGGGAGAAGAAGCGGGAGGGGAAGCTGTGGCAGCGGCGGCGGCGGCGGCGAGATCGTGCTGCTGCTGGCGGCGCCACTGACTGAGCAATACCTCCTGCTGCTGCTGGCCGCTGGCACTTGCTGCGCTGCTGCTCCCGCTGCACGTGCTGCCGCAGCAGCTGCCGCGATAGCGACCCCTCGCGCGGAGCTACGTGACTGATGTTGCGCATCCGACGGGGCAGCGGCGGGCTAATGCGGCGCGCGGGGGGGTCGGGCGGCGGAACGGAAGGGAGCAGCGCGGGGGAGAGCGCGGTGGTGGTGGAAACCAAGCGAAGCGTGGTGCCGGGGTCGGCGGGGAGACATGGTGGGTCGTCTGACGGCGGGGAGGGGGACTTGGGGAAGGATGGACCGGGGAGGTTGCGCAGGGATGGGAGGAGCGTAATTGGCGCGGGGGAAGGTTGCCCGCGGAAGGCAATTGCGCGGCGGGGGAGAGGGGAGCCAGAAGCGTGAGCGGGCGGAGGGAAGAGGGTGGGGGGCCGGGGACGGGTGAGGAGGCGGGACGAGTGGGGGAATTGGCGGATGGCGGAGTGGGGTGATCGGGATGAAGGCATGTGCTCGGCACGCGCAAGGAGACTGGTCAGAAGGCCCACAGCGGGCCCTCGATCGGCTGTGAGAAGCTAAGGTTGATTTCCTTTCTAGAGGCCAATTGGTGGGTCGCTCCTAGCAATTCGCTTCGTTAAACCTGCCAACCAGCAGCGAAGTATAAACGGCCAGGCTTTCACTGTACTATGCCACTCTCTCCAACGTATGAGGCGCCTCAAAACTGTACTATGTCATTCAATCAAACGTCGGGTTAACGATCTGGCAGAAAATCGCGAGAACAGTCAGCCTTGGAGTTGGGTTCAGTGTCGCATCATCCTACCGAGGCATACGGCTCCAGCCGGCGTGGCGCAAGATCGTGACGGCGGTTCATTTTATACAGTATTGTACTTTATCAACTGAATAAATTCTCGTTTCTTTCGCCAGCGATAGCTACACAGGGTTCCCCGTTTGTGCTGTTCAATGCCTCGACCAAGACGAAAGCTGACTGAAAGCGAGAGCGACGCGTGACAAAGTCTACCTCAAAGCAAGGCTTGTAAGACCAATCTTGAGGTAGTTTTGCTTCATTACAACTCCTCCATTTGAGACTTCGGACTCTCACAACGCAAACCCTCAGATCGCGACTTCACAAATATTCCATTCTGTACTAGAAGATATTAGTTGGGATTTGAAACAACAAACCAAACCCTAAAAAAACGGTTCCTGGATCTCAACCAAGGATCGATCAAGAGACGTGGCACTGAGCGCATCCTCTTGAACTCGTGGCTGCTGTTGCTGCTGTGCTTCTGCTCAGCGGGTGAGACAAACAAGCAAACCCTTCACTCACTCATGGCAGCTTCTGCTGCTCATTCAAGTGTGGCGCTTGGAGCCATGTCTCTGGCTCCGTAACATGAACCAAATCTCTCTGGTCCTAACGGGTGGCTCTGGTGGCTACACCGTCGAATCTTTCGCTCACGGCCACGTATAGATCGATCGAACGCTCTAACCGTTCCGCCACAATTCACATTCTCATGCTGCCACGCGGCTGCCCCATCACCTCAGAACCGCCGCTGGGAGCTGCCTACAGAGTGTATGATGAACCTTAAAGTTTGAGAATAAGATCCGGCAGAGAATTCTGCACAGTAAATTCCTGTGAAACCTCATCCTCACAAGTTGTAATTCCTACACTAGTGACGATCCGATCTCCACTCGGGGAACTACGCTGATGTCTTGAAATACCCTATTGAAAGAATACATGAACCAGGAAACTAGCCTAAGCACGGCTTCCAAACCGTGAACCCCATACACTGAAGGAGTTTGTTGTTTGCCCGAATCTTCTGATCCTCGCAGTGTGACCAAAAAGAACAGGAAAGCCCTGCCGTAAAGTCGCCGCTTCACGAATCTGATGTTTCCTCCTCGCGTGCGAAATCATTCCATTGTAGGACTTTTGTGGGGCTCTGTTTCGTAGCCATCTTGTGGCTGAAATGGGTCGTACGCTTTACCCAGTAAACGGGACCTTCTAGAATTGCTTCGAATTTCCACCTATTTGGGCTTTGCATAAAATATAACTAGAAACCACATATTGAAATTTGGTGTAAATATTTAGTGTTTTTGTAGTGGTGCTGTCTAATGTTAGAAAAAAACAAGTATTATTGCCGTAACAGCCGCCCTAGCTCAGTTGGTAGAGCGCAAGGCTCTTAACCTTGTGGTCGTGGGTTCGAGCCCCACGGGCGGCGCTGTTCGAACTTACGGCAGACTAAGAGAATTGGGGTAATTTTTGCCCTCAGTGAACCAAAACTGGGCTCAGTGAGAACATTATCGTTTCTCGTTAAGGCCAGGGTCTCACGTGCTACAAGTGTTATAGCCCGAGTCTAGAATGGTAAGGGTTCAACTTCAAGATTCTTGAGCTTGTGTTCGTCAAGAACAGGGTAACCAGGTTCAGAAAGCTGATCTCTCGCGACTCACCGAGAAGGGAGCTGGTGGGCCAGAAGGTGATTGGCCAAATGCCCCTCAGCAAAAAACACCAACGAGCCTCGCGAGAAACAAGCAGGGACAAGTACCACTGTTCACACTTCTGGAACTTGAAACTCGAGAATACCTTTCTAGACTCGTAGTTCAGTGGGCTCCATAGCCCAAGTTCTCGTCAGTAGCCAGCATAGTTACGCCCATCTCCCCGCGCTATGCTAAGACGTTAGTAGCACATACAGATGAAACTTCCCGGCGACTTTTTCGCGCATAACAAATCCGATCTCGTAGCCATGGACAAAGACAGGACCCTCAGATTGATCGCCACCGTGAGAATCACTCGTCGCCACTGAAGGTTATCCCAGTCCGCACTCAATGCCGGTCCGCAATCACTCAAGGCCCGCCCTCACTCCCGTCGTTCACTTCCCGTCGTTCACTCCCGTCGTTCTCTCTCCTCCCGTCAAACTCTTTCTCCCATCGCGCTCTCACTCCCATCGCTCTCTCACTCCCGCAACGCTCTCACTCCCGCAACGCTCTCACTCCCGTCGCTCTCTCACTCCCGTCACGCTCTCACTCCGTCTCTCACTTCCGTCACGCTTTTACTACCGTCGCTCTCTCACTCCCGTCGCTCTCTCGCTTCCGTCGCGCTCTCACTACCATCGCTCTCATCACTCCCGCAACGCTCTCACTCCGTCGCTCTCTCACTCCCGTCGCTCTCTCACTCCCGTCGCTCTCTCACTTCCCGTCGCTCTCTCACTCCCGTCGCTCTCTCACTTCCGTCGCGCTCTCACTCCCGTCGCTCTCTCACTTCTGTCGCGCTCATCACTTCCGTCGCTCTCTCGGTGACTGTCCGCGCTCTCACTCCCGTCAACCCACGCACGTCGCTCGCACATGTCGCTCACACGTGACACACACCACTCACTAGCACATGTCGCTCATATCTGCTCCTCTCCCCCTCTTCCCCCTTTGCGCCCTTCCCGTTCCTCCTCTTCCCATCTTCCTTTGTCACTCACACACGTCACACACGGCATGCTCACACATGTTCCCATCTCCCCTCTCCTCCCTTCCCTCTCCGCTGCTCTCCTCCTTTCCCTCTCTGTCCCCCTCCTTCCCTTCTCTGTCTTCGCCTCGCCGCCCTCCCACTCATCCCCTCTCCTTCCTTTCCCTCTCAGCTCCTCTCCTCTTTTCCCTCTCAGCCCCTCTCCTCTTTTCCCTCTCAGGTAAGGTAGTTGGGAGGTCAATCAAATAGTCTCTTTCGTTTGCCTTCTCTGCATTGGTATCACGTCACACTCTTCCACCATCTGTCCACCACACCATTCCACCATACCCACCCTGACACTCATCCCTCACCCTTCCACTCTGTGCCTTACTCACTCCTTTGCTGTTTCTTGTCCTTCTCTCACTTTCCTTTGCTCTCTGTCATCTTGCTCACCCTGTTCCTTGCTCACTCATACATTTGTTGTTTCTGTCTTTGCTCGCTGTCCCCTGCTCACCCTTCAATCTTTGCCCCTGCCTCTCTGTTGCATTCCTTGTCATTCCCCTCCCATTCCCTCCTCTGCACGCGATCCGTGCTGCCCTTCACCGTATGCTTCCCTGCTGCTCAGACCATCTCACATGTAATTTCCTGATTTGTGTTTGTACAGGTCCGCTTTGCATCAGTGCTGGTGCTGTGGTGATGTGTTGGTTGGCAGTTTGATAGTACTACTATAATGACTTGCCATGCAATGTTTGGATCTTGGATGCTTTGTTATGCCGGTATTACAAACTTTGAGCTGAGAGCAGCCATGCACATGACCACTACAAAAAAGTGCAACAAAATTCGCAGTTGATTATCGACACGAAGAAGACAGCTAGGAAATGTATTTTTTTTTCTCCCCGTTCTTGTTGCTACACTGCATGCAACCTTGGCCTGTGGTGTTGGGGCCTGGGACCTGTACACTGCGTGGTTGGAGATGGGTATGAGTGAAAGGGGGAACAGATTGAGCAGTGGAAGAGAGAGTGAACAGGAAGAAATATAGCGAAACAGGGGGAAGAGAGTGGAGCAGAGAGGAACAGAGCGAGTAGTTGGGGAGAGAATGGGCAGGAGAAACACAGTGAGAATGAGCAGGGGAAACAGATTGACCCAGGAAAATAAGGACGGAAAGATGAGCAGAATGAATGGGAGGGGGATGGGAGAGCGATGGGAGGGAGATGGAAGGGGGATGGGAGGGGGATGGGAGGGGGATGGGAGGGGGATGGGAGGGGGATGGGAGGGGGATGGGAGGGGGATGGGAGGAGGATGGGAGGGGGATGGGAGGGGGATGGGAGGGGGATGGGAGGGGGATGAGGGGGGGGTGGGAGGGGGTTGGGAGGGGGATGGGAGGGGGATGGGAGGAGGATGGGAGGGGGATGGGAGGGGGATGGGAGGGGGATGGGAGGGGGATGGGAGGGGGATGAGAGGCGGGTGGGAGGGGGTTGGGAGGGGGAGAGGAGGGGGATGGGAGGGCGGCGGGAGGGGGATGGGAGGGCGATGGGAGGGGGATGGAAGGGGGATGGGAGGGAGATGGGAGGGGGATGGGAGGGGGATGGGAGGGGGATGGGAGGGGGATGGGAGGCGGATGGGAGGGGGATGGGAGGAGGATGAGAGGGGGATGAGAGGGGGATGGGAGGGGGATGGGAGGGGTATGGGAGGGGTATGGGAGGGGGATGGGAGGGGGATGGGAGGGGGATGGGAGGGGGATGGGAGGGCGACGGGAGGGCGATGGGAGGGGGACGGGAGGGCGATTGGCGGGGGACGGGAGGGGGACGGGAGGGGGACGGGAGGGAGATGGGAGGTCGACGGGAGGGGGAAGCGAGGGCGACGGGAGGGGGAAGCGAGGGCGACGGGAGGGGAAAGCGAGGGCGATGACGGGGGAAGCGAGGGGGATGGGCGGGGGAAGCGAGGGCGATGGGCGGGGGAAGCGAGGGCGATGGGCGGGGGAAGCTGGTGCGACGGATGGGGGAAGCTGTGGCGACGGACGGTGGATGCGAGATATGGACGGACGGGGGAAGGGGATTCGACAACGCTCTAATTTCTCATCTCGCACAATATCTCCTTGCTTCACACTCGCATTCGAGCCACATTCCCTACCTCGGTCCTCGGATTCCTCTCGATTCCGGCATAAAAGCATATGTTCTCACATGTCATACCTAGCTATTTTACTCCGGATACTTCATATTTTCCTAACACTGATGCTCTATCTGGTCTTACGCATGTTTTTCTCAGGCTGCTCAAAGAGAGTGCTTGTGGACATGGCGGAAATCCGGGTTGTGAGCTACATGAGAGTGGTTGGGTTTGGTTTTGTCGAAGCTGTTTGTTCAAGTTTCGGGAAGTTGAAGTTGAAGTTGCGATACACTTTAGGGCATTCTGCCTTCGCCAACTTCCTCAGGCGAATTTTTCCCTCGTCAACCGTCGCGCAACCCTTTTCAAGTTCAGTATTTATGAACCCTTGCCATTCTAGGCACGGGCTTTATGCAGTTGAGAGTGCAAGTTTGTTTGTGATTGGTTGGGGTACTAATCGAATCCAAATAGCTAGGTGTAGCCGAACCTTCTAAGTTTGTAAATTTGGTTCGGATCCAAACCTAAAATGCCCCAAACTCGTCGAAAGTCTCATGTACTCAAAAACTTGTTGTGCAATTGCTTTTGAGACTTTTGGGTGTTTTGGGAAGACATTCCAGGATTTCCTTCAAGAGTGCAGTCGCCGTGGTGCTTCACACCTTCGTGACTTGGGTGGTTCATCCAACCTCATTCCGCAATTGTTTGAGACCAGCTTCTACAAGCGCATTTCCCTTGTCCACCAGCGTGAGCAGGCCCGTACAGTCTGCAGGCGAGCACAGGTTCGGTTCTCAGTAGGTACCAGCACCACCCCTTCGGAGGTTACCCCTCCGTCGGCAACGGACTTTGCGTACATGGGGAATGATTACTGAACGTCGTAGATGTTGGACTACTCTTGCTGCTTCCTGTGCATAGCTTCTCTTAGGTAGCTGGCACTTTTCCCTTTACCCAGACAATACAGGCCATCCAACAGGATCACATGGCATGATGACCTCCCTAGGTTTGACCATGAGGATTCAGCTGCACCCTGCTGCTGTCGGGCCCTGCTGGACCTGGCCAGGAGCCCCTCTGTCCGTTTCTCTACAAGGTACCATGATGCCACCGTTTCACCTTCTGCACTGCATTTGCTCCACACGAGCGGCTTGAGGCATCACATCACGCGGAATATGCAGATTTGGCACTGCGTAGCTTCACATGCGGACAGCTCGAAGCATAGAAGGAAATTCACCTTACAACCTATCAGCTCTCCCCCTCCTGCAGCCAATCACAAGGCTCTTCCTCCTCTCCCCTGCCTGTGCCTGCGCCCGCTCCCACTGCTGGTCCTCCATGAACAGTGCCACTGCCGCCCGCACATCGCTGCCCGCCTCGCCCAGGTAGTACTGCGCTGTTGGCTCGTCCACCTGAAGGGCTCTTTGCAACAGAGAAACCACCTGCGCAGTGCCATGTGCTGCCGAGGGTCTGAGGGAGGGAGAGAGAGTGGGGAGCAGGTGGAGTAACAAGAGGAGAAAAATGACATTTGAGTGCTGCTAGTGACTGAAAAAAGCCACCTGCCTAGCGCCACATGTCGCTGAGGGCATGAGAGACGGAGGGAGTGCGAGAAGCAGGTAGGCATCATGGTGTTATGGTACAATGGCATACAATGGCAGAATACATGATGGCATAATGACACAACGGCCTGGCACCAGCAAAAAGAAGAAACACACACAAGGTAACTTGGATGCATGATGATTGATGATAGTCTTGGCCTGTGCGAGCATGATGATTGATGATACTCACATGATGCGATGCCACCCACAAGACGTGATGTGGCGCCAAAGAAAATCCAGACAAGAAATGCATATCATACCTTTATCAAGAGGATCAGCAGAGTTGTTCACATAATCAGTCTCTCCGCATCACTAACATATTTCTAACACTCTCCGTATAATCACGCTCGATATAAGCACCTGGCATTTCGTGCTTCTCCATACGCCTGCCGGATCTCCGCCTCCTCCCCCTCCTGGAACACCAGCAGCACCTCCCGCCGCGCGTGCGAATCAAACTGGATGGCGCAATGCCGCCCCGCCAGCTCAGCCGGGCGGCGCGAGGGGGGGATGGGGATGAGGAGGCGCGTGCGCGTGTGGATGGCATGATCACTCATGATGTTGTTGAGACGCCGGATGTCCATGGCCTGGGGGGGGCGAACATATGCATGGGGAACGAAGCACATATGCATGGACACGGGAAGCACATATGCATGGGCACGGGAAGCACATATGCATGGGCACGGGAAGCACATATGCATGGGCACGGGAAGCACATATGCATGGGCACGGGGAGCACATATGCATGGACACGGGAAGCACATACGCACGGGCACGGGAAGCACATATGCATGGGCACGGGAAGCACATATGCATGGGCACGGGAAGCACATATGCATGGGCACAGGAAGCACATATGCATGGGCACAGGAAGCACATATGCATGGGCACGGGAAGCACATATGCATGAGCCGTGAGGGCAGGGCATGGTCGCTCATGATGTTGTTGTGGTGACGGATGTCCATGGCCTGGAGAAGACAAAGAGTGCACATGGGATAGACATGGGATCGCAGATGCATGCGCAGCACACATGCACGGGTGACAGAGTCGGTGCGGGCACGGGATGGTGTCAATCTTAAACAACCCACGTGGCAGGCCCATCAGGATGCCACGTGTCAGCGTGACCCACCTGCACGTGGAAGCGCACTGCCAGGCTGGCAATGGAGTCAGTGCGGCCAATGGGGTGCGAGAGGGCGAACTCGGGTGACGCGAGGAGCGAGAGGAGGGAGGGGGGGCCACGGCGGGCGGTGCGAGGAGTCGGGGACGAGGGGAGGGGAGGGGGTTGGGAGCGCGCTGCAGGAGTGGAGGCGGAAGGGGGGAGAGTGGATGATAGCTTATCCCCCTTTGCGTCTGGCACTGGTGCTGCTGTTACAGCTGGTGCTGGTGCTGGTGCTGCTGCTGCTGCTGCTGATGATGATGCAGATGCTGATGCAGATGCTGATGCTGGCGTTGGTGGTGCTGGACCAGCGGAGGAGGGGAGACGCAGGGAGAGCAGGCGGTGGGAGCGGCAGAAGGCAGCGCAGCACAGCGAGGGGTCCAGGGCGAGCGGGCACCAGCGACGGCACGCAGCCGCCACGTGGGGGAGGTCAGCCTGACGGAACATCAAGGGCATGGGCGGGAGGAGAACAGGATGGTGACAGGGATGACGGCAGAGCAGCACAGCGAGGGGTTGGGGGCGAGAGGGCACCAGCGATGGCACACAGCCGCCATGCGGGGGAGGTCAACCTGGCGGGATGTGAAGGGAAGGGGGATGGTGGGAAGAGAACGCGAAGAGGACAGGGATGGCTAGAGAACAGGGAGGGGGAGTAGGGAAACAAAGGGATGTTGAAATCACTTTTGAAAAAAAAAAATGATTTCAGCGCAGCGCAGCACATCGAGGGGTTGGGGGCGAGAGGGCGCCAGCAGCAGCACACAGCGTCACTCGGGGGAGGTCAGCCTGGCGTGATGTGGAGGCGAGGGGATGGGTGTAGAGAGAACGAGATGGAGATAGGGATGGCTAGAGAACAGGGAGGGGAGCAACGCAGCACAGCGAGCGAGGGGTTGAGGGCGAGAGGGCGCCAGAGGTGACTCAAAGCCGCCACGCAGGGGAGGTCAGAATGGCGGTTACCACGGGGGTGCCTCCAAAAGTTGGCGACACTCAGTCGCCACACAAGGGAGGTCAGCCCCAGATCGTGAAGGGAAAGGAGGGTACAGAGACAGCAGGATTTTAAGACGGGTCAGACTCACGGATCACGCAGGGCAGCAGCAAGGGGCGTTGAGGCATGGACAGAGGAGCACCGTACGGCACGCAATAGGAAAACATGGAAGGGAACGAATGGAGGCAGGGCAAGAAAAGGGGAAGGGGAAGGGGGACGAAGGAGAGGAGGTCAGCAGAAACGCAGCAACTTTACCTTTTGACTCGATATAAGCTTACCACGCTCAGACGGCTGAAGATTTGCCGTAACACTTCGTCAGGAACCTCATGTACCCTTTCTGAAGCTGGCTCTTTGTTTTCAGATAACGATGATGATGGTGCTGAGGCTCCTAACGGAGCAGTATGTAACGAATCGGCCCATAGGGGTTGTGCGACTAGTTTAGATAGACCATACGAGCCGCTGCCGCACTTTATATCACCAGCTTCAGTAACTGACCGTTCTTGTCCTCGCTTCTGAGAAACTCGATAACTGAGGTGATGTGTGGAACGCGGCAACGTACTATCGAAGCCACTCTGCATGCCGTTTGGGCTCGCAAACTTGCCCCTACTCTCGATAATAGAACTTGTTTTTACACTATTAGTGAAGCAACAATCGAAGGATGAACGGGAAGGAAAGCACCCCATTGGCTGAAACTGCTGCTGCTGCTGCTGCTGCTGCTGCTGTTCTACTGTACGCTCTTTCACTGTTTCTATTTCAGGACGTTGGTACTGCTGCTGCGTCTTTCCCTGCACTAAGCGACCGAGCGGGAAGGTAGATTCAATCTGTCGGACATCCTGCCGTTCGTTTGTACTATCGTCGTGCGATTGCGTAGGCCACTGATCGTGCGATACCGCGTGCGACTGCGCGTCAAGGCCTTGCCAGCGAATTTCAAATAGAGAAACGAGCGACGGCGCGGTGGGATGGGAAGCAACAGCATGACAGGCGGTAGGAGACATCACGCGACAAACTCTGCGACGTCTTAGCGAGCGTCGGCTGGGTCGCAGGCGGAGGCGCGGGAGGGACGGGGACGCGCCTGAAGCTGATAGGGAACTTTGTGGGTGGGAGGGGGTCGGCAAGGAGAAGGGGGCTAGGAACGAAGGTATGGTGGTGTGGATTCGGAACAGAATTTGCCAAGGGTTGCAGCGAAATGATAGGAGCACCAGTAACAGCGGAGCTCTCCCGGCCTCGAGTCTAGTCATCCGTGCGTCGGTGACGACGAAAAGAAACGAAGAACGAAAGTGACGGGCGAGCGGGTGATGGTGATGGATGGATGCTAGCGAAAACGTCGCAAGCTGCAGCTGTCGCGTTGATTTGTTTCGCGGTACAATGCTATACGCATTGGAATAGGTCATCTACACCCACAACTTTTCTTTGCTAATGAATCACTAGCGAGAACAGAATGATAACTTTTACTGAGGCTACTTAGCCATTATGTACACTAACTACATCTGATTTCATTAAAAAAGGACCCACAGACTTGGCAGATGCCAAGATCGATAAAACAAGGACATGAGCTTATTCCATTAATTGAAAGCACAAGTCCTATCCAGCATCACTCGTCCACCACCACCACAATTCCACAATCCCTCCTAAGGTCATCGCCTGCCTGCCCCACCTGCAAGGAGAACCCCAGAGGATACCATTCTGGCCAAAGGAGATTTAGGAGGACGAGAGCGCACATCACATTCCTCCAAACTCCTCCCAACCCCTCCTCCGGCTCTCACCTCACAGCTGGACTTGGGTCGAACCGCAAATCGTCGCCCTGGCGGTTCCGCAGCGGCGTTTCAGCAGCAATCATTGCCGCATTCAGTCTGTCACTGGCTTCTGTTTGGCTCCATACAAATCGTCGGCCTGGTGGCTCCGGCAACGGCGCTTCAGCAGCAATCATCGCTGCTACCTGCGGCGATGGCTGATCGTACGACACACTTCTGGCGAGCATGTTACTGCCAGGGCTCATTGATCTCATAGGAACTTCCGACTCGGTGGAAACGCATTCTGGAACCAGCTGCTGCTGCCCCGCTGCTTGCCCCGCACACCCCTCCTGGTGCCTCCTCTGGTTTGCGGCACCTCAGAAGGAACACCCATGCTGCTCCCTCCTACACTGCTCTCACATGCCCTCACGGGGTTGCTCTCAGGAGGATGTGGTCGTTCCATGCGGACCCCCCTCGCAACCCACTCTTTCCTGCATAAGGTGACTTGGGCAGGGAGGGTGACTTGGGCAGTGTGGATGATTTGGGGTGTGCGGGTGACTTGAGCAGGGAGGGTGACCTGGGCATTGTAGATGACTTGGGTAGAGCAGGTGACTTGGGCAGTGCGGGTGATTTAGGCAGAGAGGGTGACTTGGGTAGTGTGGGTAATTTGGGCAGCATTCTCCGTTCCCGCAGTTGCTGTCCGTAGTGGCTGTTGGCATGCTCAACACTAGCATGGCTAGAGCTCGCCTGGCTGGAGCAGTCATCACTGCACTCCTCTGCCGCCCTCTCTGCTGCCTCCGGCCCACCATCCCGTCCCCGACTGCCCCGCCGACCATCCACCTCCATACCCCCATCCCCAACAGAGGCAACAAACACGTTCCGGCCACGGTGCCCCGCCCCTCCTTCCCCTGTGGGGCCAGTCCTGGAGGCCAGGGACCAGCGGCGATTTAGCACGGGCGGGCTGGGCAGAGGGGAGTGAGACTCCGACATTCGCCTAGTGGCGCCCGGTGTTGGGGTGAGGCTGTGAGGTGTGGGGATCAGGCCATAGGGTGCAGTGGGCTGAGAGAATGCAAAGTTGTCGTCATCGTCTGAATCATCCTCATCTGAGTCATGATCGTAATTGTCGTGATTGTGGTGATTGTTGTGAGCAGAGGCAGCAGCATCGTGTGCATCAGTGGGTGACAGGACCCTGCGCGGTCGCCCCTGCCCCGATCGCCCTGAACCACGGTTTCTCGGTTCGGTCTTTGACCGGCCCATAGGCGGGGTGAATGGGCGGCATCCGCCGTCTGTTTCTCCTGCACGAGCCGTCGCATCTGTTTCCCCTCTCCGCCCATCGAGCACTAGTCTGTCGACTCCGTGACTCTTGCCCGCACCGTGATACCCAGCAGTAGCAGCAGGAAGGTCTGGAGTGGCAGCAGGGCTTTTGCTGCAGCGGCTACTGTGGCTGCTGGCCATACTCCCCATGCTCACGAAGCTGTATGTGCTTGATGCCGTGTTGCTCCTGCTGAACGCACCCCGTGCCCCACTCCGCACCCGCTCTCCACCACCGCTGGTAATGCCGTAAACCGCTCCCGTCACCGATATGAAAACAGTTACCACCTGCACCACCATAATCTCCCTCACCACCATCTCCACTGCCCTCATTCCCCTGCCAAGCCCCGCTTGGTGAAGTTGCGATCGGCTGCCCGTCTCTTTCTTTAATGGTCCGGCTTTTACTCAACCTACCAAACACCGGCCCGCTATAAAAGCCGGAGCCCAAGCCTCCCCAGGTGGGGGTGGTTGCTTTGGAGGAGGTGGGTCTGGTGGAGGTATCACCTGACTTGCTGCCAAACGACATTCCCAACCGTCCACTGTTCCACATACGATGCGCGTCGGTTTTGCCCTTCACGACCTCACCCAAATCGCTAGAGTCGTCAATTTCGCCAAGCTCATCCGCAAGACCGGACTTTCTAAACCCTCCAGAAGCACACTCAGTTTGTTCACTTGAGGTAACCCTAACGGAGGAGCCACGTCGCCCTTCGCCAGCGCCATGCCCTAGCGAACTATCGTCAAAATGAGCGTTTCGCGCGTCTGGTGGCGAATTCTTACGAGAGTTGGACGAGAACGGACGCGGCAAAGGCGATTTGCTACGCGGCCGAACCGGGTGGTAGACGCAGAGTCAGCTCCGTTACAAGTTTTGCTCCGATTCAACGCGCAAGTTTCTTCGTCGCCGCGATTCCTCGTGAAACTGCGATTACCCGCACTTGCACCGAAGCTCTTACTCCCAGGACTTATGCTATCGTTACTACCGTTCCTACCATCAGTACCATGACCACTGCTGGTACCGTTAAGACTAGACGCCCTGCTCCACGTGGCGGTTTTCACGAGCGCGCGCGCAGCCGCGACGGTTGTCATCGACAAGGAGCGCGGCGAATCTGCGGCAGCACGCCTCTGCGCTTCCCACCTGCAGAGCCGCTGCTGTTGCTTTCCGCGCTGCTCCTGCCGCCGTTGTTTCCACCGCCGCTGCCACGCGAATGCTCCCCGCCCGCCGTCCGACTCAGATGTCTCGTTCCCTCATCGTCTCGCCCCTCCTCCTCCTCCCACTCCCCGCTCCCATATCACTCTCGTTGCGCGCCGAGCGCCCTTCAGCTGCCGCAACAGCCGCCGCAGCAGCGGCGGCGGAACATCTCCCCCTGCTGAGCCCTCCCTTTGCCCCAGCCACCGCTCCGCTCCCTTCCCTCCCGTTTCCGCCGCCGCCGCGGGACTTCCCCCCGCCAAACCCGCCAAGCCCACCGCTAGCGCCGGGTCGTGCGATGACTTCAAGAGGTTGCTCTCGTCGTCGTCCCCCGCCCCGCGCTTATCCCGCCAGCCATCCACCGTGCGCTCGCTCACGCGCTGCCGTCGCTGCAGCGTGGGGCGGCGGAGCGAAGGAACCAGCAGCTTCCATATGCTATGCGCCTCGAGAACCACGCCCTGCGCCTTCCGCGCAGCTTCCTCCCAGTCGTCCGATTCGCGCCGCGGAGATTCGGGGATCCACCAATGGTCGGAAGCGACTCCCCTGATCCTCCCGTGAAACCCCCGAACCCTCCCGCGGCCCAGCCTTTAACTCTCGGTAAAATCGTCTCCACTATAGTCGCCACCTGATTGGCCAGAACGAGCGGATCATCCGCCGCCACAACGACCAGCTTCCACGAAACTTCCGTCCCCAGGCCGGACCGCAGGCGCACGGGGAGCGCGAGGAGCGGCAGCACGGGAACACGTCGCCCGGGTCGCGCTCCTTTGCGCCCACCTCCACCGTCTCTAACGGCGCGTTGTCCAGAATCACGGGAAACTCGCCGCAATCATCGGAACGGCTGAACGGGTCGCTGGGATCGGCGGCAGAGGAGTCGAGTGGATCATAAAGGTCGACGTCGGGAAGCGCGGTGGCGGAGGTTGCGGAGGACTCCTGCGAGACGGGGACGGCCCGAGGACGCACGTCTGCGGGATAATCCCGAGGTTCCACGGCCGCTGCTCCGAGTCGTCGACTTTGACGGCGCCGTCAAGCGCTAGACGGCAACGGCGACCGGCGAGCGACGCGGCGAACGAACTAGACTTGGAAGAAGTGCAGATGAAGTTGAGGAGGGGAATAGTCGCTGGCTTGCCCCGCGCTGCAGAAGCGGAGACGGCGCGCGGCGAGGCGCGCCGCGGAGAGTTACTCGCGCCTGGGGAGGCGAAGAGGATGACGTCATGCCGATGGAGACGATGTCGCCAGCGCGGATGAGCGGAAGAAGGTTTCCCTGAGGCAGGTGCGACATGAGGCGACGCGACGATATTGATACTTGTAAGGTCGACTAGTTGATTTTGAAGGACTTGCGTACGTTTAACGAATCTTATTTTACGTCTGCTTGGCAGTAGATCGAGTACGGGCCTCTCTTCTTTTCAATGAGGGTCATCGCAACGCCTCTAAGACAAACTAGAACGGGATGTTAGCGGGTACTAACTCACTGTGAAGCATTACGAGCTAGAAGAGTGAGGCAACTCATGGTGTAATGGGTGTGGAACAATGCGATGAACAGAAAGTCGTGACTTGTTTAGTCCAGTCCCCACTTACACCCGAAAACGTCGCCTCGCAGTTCATTGTTGTGGCTGTTGTTGAAATCCGCTGCTGCGACAACTTAGCTCAGAAGGGAAAGGCTGATGTCAGTCAGGCCCGTGGTTGCAACGTGGAGTGCATCAAAAGGAATTTGGGATCGAGGAAGAATGAAGCAAGAGAGTCGGTGCAGGGAAAATTTCGGTCCTCATCGCAACCGCTGCGGCATTGCAACAGATGCACAGAAGCTGTCATCGTCTTTTTTTGAATTCACGAGCAGAAGGACTGTTCCCCGAACACCACCACCACCACGCCCTTCCACGTCATCGTGAAACCGCCGTCACGGAGGGGGAGGGGAGGTCAAATCATTTTGCGCGAAAGATGCCTGAGAGTGGGGGGGAGCATCGCTAGCGATAAGTTACAACTCCCTTGAAGAGCACTCGCAGCGGGATGACGATGCTTCCAATGCTTTGGTCCTGATGGCTGCAGCAAATGGGACAGCCCAGTTTCTGGAACATACCTAGTGCACCACGTTCAACGTTCTGACCTGTGTGATTTTTTTGGGTGCGAAGCACCCTTTACAATCGATTTTGACAATTTTTCTTTTCATTTAACATAAAATAAAAATTCGTAAGCTACAGTAACACCCTTCCCATTGTGCA